CCACCTGGGAGACCTCCCGGGGGTCCCCTGCTGCCACGATCAGAGGCAGCGGTCACCCAACACTGGGAGGCTTGAGCTGGCCAGGTTTCTTCGGCTGCTTGCCTCCTGCTCGCTCCTCACTGCCCTCTACCATTTGAATTTTCTGCCACTGGCCTGTGGAAGGTGGCGCGGAGCAAGTGGAAGGTGAGCTGGGAGGCGAGTGGCCGAAGAAACCCGGCCAGGCTCATGTCTCCCAGCGGCGGCAGGCACAGCAGTGGTGGAAGCCCGGGAGGCTTCGGACGGGTAAGGTGCTCCTTTTTCCTTTTTAAAAAACTGTTCTCGGTGGGTTTTGGAGGGTGGGTTTGGACTGGGGGGGGTTATGTTTCTGTGCTGTATTATCTTGTTTTTGGATTTTTGTGTGGGTTTTTTTTTCCAGTCCCAGAGTGGGACTTGCTCTGTTGTACTTTTATTATTATTTTTGGTATTTTTTTGAAATGCTGGAACAGATTAATCCCGTTCGCATGCATTTCAATGGGAAATTGTGCTTCGATTTACGAACACCGTTCCAATACGGATTAAGTTCGTAAATCTAGATGCCACTGTATTTCCTGTAGGCCTACTACCCAACTTCTTGCCCTCAAGCAGCCAAACAGTGTAGTTGATTGTCCCCCAGGGTTTCTGTTCCCAGCGCATCATGTTACCTTGTGGTGTTGCATGGCTGGAAAACAGCTTGGTCTCCTCCAGCACTCTTTTCTGACCTTACAGGGCACAAATGGAGGACTTGGCTGAACAGGGATCCAGGTTTATATTGAAAGAGCTTTCTTTTTGAATTAACAGTTACAGTGATCTTGCAATACAGTACTTGTTTGTTTGTTTGTTAGGTTGGTTGGTTGGCTTTGTTTTTTTGTTTGTTTTTTGTTTGTTTTTGGAAGATACTACTCTGTTTATTTCAGTTTTATGCCCTCCCTGCCTGTATATCCTCAACTTTTCTAATCCTGGCTCTGCAGGAGAGTTCCAGTCTGTCATCCATCTTTTGGCTTGGGGATGATACAAGCATATTCTGAAGAAACAATATCAGCAGCATCTGCAAAGAAGTTTACCTGTGTCTTCACAGTGACTCACATATTTTTTCACCACCAATCCTCCAAAGCTTTTC